TAAGATTGAAAGTCTTATAAAATTCCCCCCTCAAACCATCATTACCAGGAGATTTCCTTTCTTTAAGGGATTTAATATATTCACTAATTTCAGCCAACGATATCTTCTCTTCACATGAGACTCTAAGATCATCATTTATTTTTATCGAATCTGCTGAAACATTGTCTAAAAATGGTTCAATATGAGAGGGTGTAAAGACTGAAGAATATAAATCTTGATAAAATTGAGCTACATGTTGAGAGATTATTTTAGGATCATCAGAGATCACGTGACCTGAGGGAAAGTGCTGTCACATTTATTCTGTCTCTTCATAACAATGTTTTATTCATTAGACTCCAACAGGAAATGTTGTCTGTCAAAATAAAAGTCTTCCTCCACATTAAAGTCAGGTAACTGATAAATACCGAAATGTTGGAGCCAAACATGAAGCTCCTGAAACACTGAAAAAAAAAAAAAGAAAATCTGCAGATTTTTTCATGAACAACAGAATCACCGCTTTGTGTTTAATGTGATATGAATATAATACAACACTCACACAGCTAGTGTCATTTTATTTTAGGGTGGAATTTCCCTTGAACATGTTCACACCCTGAACTAGAGGGCTGCATTGGGATTGGGTCCCGCCAGGTCCCACAGGACCCAACCCAAATCTTGCGGGAGCGGGCAGTTTGAACTTTGCTGCAGGCAGGAACGGGCGGCTAAAAAAAAAAACACTGCAGGATCGGGATGTAGCCGATAGCGACAGGATGGAATTAACAAATGATGTGGAAAAGAAGCTCAAACAAAGTCTGAAGGTGCACTGAGCCCTCAACTTCCCAGCGCTCTCAAAGCTGGTGTTTCATCTTCAGTATCTTCAGAGCGGGCCTTTAGTGTCTGTGGGCGCATCTTGGAAGAGAGACGCACGGGATTGGGACCACAGTCGGTCAGCAACATTCTCTTCCTCCACAGCAATATTATGGCCAAGTGATTCATTCATTAACTTAGTTTATTTTATGTTATTTATTAGTGTTATTTGAGCCACTCACAGCCTACTCTCGTTGCTATTTGTTAATTACATAAAGAGGCGTGATGATGCCGGTGTTATTGAGCATAGGCTTTATCTTTATCTCATTAATGTTTCTTATTCAGGTCTCTCTTAGAAAAGAGACCTTAACCTCAATCACTGCATGATTATATAAAGGTAGAAAAATAAATAAATACAGAGGAGGAGAATAGAATATGAAACAGCCTTTATTTCATTCAAAACTAAATGAAAACAATGAAATAGGAGCGCTATTCCTGACCAGTGCGTCAACAGACATGCAGACCAGGGAAACGAAACAAACAACCCCATGAATCTCTTTATTAATAACCTATAAAATGACGTGTTTTCTCCTGCGGGACGGGAGAAGACACAAAATCAATGCATCTCTATTATTGTGCGGGCATAAATTCTCAGAGTTTTGCGGTTGCGGGCGGTAATGGACAGAAATTCAGCGGGAGCAGGATGAAGGAAACAGTCCCGCACAGGGCTCTAGTCCAGATGGACAGTTTCCAGCTCGCTGCTCTGCAGAAGAAAATCAGACCTCTGCTGCACCAGAACAGCAGCCATGATCACCAGAGGCCTCAGTACTGTGAAAGCAGTTCATCTTCCCCAGGATATCTCCTCCTCCTCTGCTCTGACTCACCCGTCACATCCAGCGTCTGGATAACTGCTGCTACAGAGCTGGTTATGAACTAGTTCAGTCAACTCTGGGTTTTCCTATCAGCCACGAGCACGTTCATGTGAAAGAGGCGGGGCTGTTAATGATGAGTGACATCATCAGTTACCATGGTGATTTATCACAATGAAAAGAGAACCAGCTTCATAGGACTGAGACCCAGAGTTAACCCTGAAGTGACCTCGCTGACTCCAAATCCTGCTTCTTGGTCCAGACCTCAGGTTAACAGGTGAAGTCTGTTTATTTCTCTGAAGACTCATTTTCTCCTCTGTACCTAACTGTTTCTGTTAAAATGATTATTTCAGTGCTTATTGATACATTTCTGATTGGTTGGTTCATATACTGTACTAGGCCATAGCCATTGGTAGCTGTGTCACCTTCTACCTATGCCAGTCCTCAATGCCTATGTGCAGTTTCACATAGATTGACCACGTCAGTGAGTAGAAAAACGTGGGACAGACAGAATGACTGACTGACAGAATGACACACTGACAGTTTCCGTGATTATGTACAGCATACCATACCATGACTTAGTCATACCAAACATTAGAAAACAACACCAACATTGGTCCACAGGGGGAGCCACAGCGATCGGTCGCATTTTAGCCATTTTGAAGCATTTTTCTGTTGTTATAGCGCCACCCAGTTGCCAATTAGAGTTAAATTTCTCCAGTCACCTTGAGGCGTCCTGTTCTACATATCTACCAAGTTTAGTAAAAATCCATATGGCGGTTAGGCCTAGATAAGAAATGAGCTCTCTAGCGCCCCCATTTTGTTTGATGGGGTCAATAATGGAGGGGTCCCCTCAGATTATGTGTGGTCATATGCCTACAAAGTTGCGTGGTGATGGGTGAAACCCTTGAGATGTTATACACCTTTATGTGATGAGCCACGCCCTCCGCAATATTCATTGCCTTATAGAAGCTCAGTTTTAGTAAGTTTTCCAACTTTTGCCAAGAGGGAACTTTAGATATTGGTCCCTAGATTATGTTCACCCAGTTTCATGCAGATGGCTCAAACTTCCTAGGAAGAGATCCATTTGAAGTGTTTTTCAAAGAATTCAAAATGGTGGAAAATCTATATAAGCGGAAGTTATGGGTTCTTGAGGCAAATGTGTTCCTCATGAGGAGAGGCATCTCTGTGCAAAGTTTCATGTCTCTACGACATACGGGGCATGAGATATGCCCATTCAAAGTGTGCAATTTCAATGGGTTGCTATAGCGCCCCCCTTTGGCCAATTGATGTAATATTGCTTCATTGGCATCCTCCCATGACCCTCTACCACTGTGCCAAATTTCACATGGATTGACCAAGTCAGTGAGGAGAAAAACGTGGAACAGACAGTTTTCGTCATTATATAGTAAGATGATATATGATATATAACACAGTGATAAAATGCCTTTTCATTCCCTCTCCAGCATGTACTTCTACATATCTCTGTATCATGATGTTGAATATTATTTCAGGCCCACACAATTCAAGTAACACTTTAATAGGTCTAACTATCAATAACTATTTTACATTCATACGTTTTTGTTTGTTTTTCTGGCGATTGAAAAAAGCCTGTCACATTTGTATGGCAATGAATTGGAGGTTATTAAATCGGTAAAGTCTGCTGAAGTATGCAGACTTGACCTTGACTTTGTGCACTGAATAATTTGTGGATTTGGAGGCCTCAGCATTCCCAGACTTCCTGGGAATGCGCCCACAAAGTCCACGAGTCTGCAACTGCGGTAAAGTGCAGACATTTGGATTCAGCTTTAGTCAAGACTGACAAGTCCCAAGTCCTGAACTTTGAGCCCTAAACAAGTCATAACATGCTCTTTCACAAATGTAATCCCATACCACACAGAGTTTAGTATTAAATAAACATAAATCCTGAGTGCTTTTTAAAATTCTCGTTACAGAAGTTACTTTTATGCTAAGCTAACCCTAGCCAAGCAGTAGCTCGCTAACTTTGTTAACAGCGGCCCAAGTGACGTGGAAGTTAGTGTGTGCGTCTCTCTCTCTTTCTCTCTCTCTATCTTCAGAAACATGGGGTAATATTTTAAATTACACATGCAAAATATCAAAATGGTTAAAAGTCTTTTTGCAAATATCAGAAAAAGAAAAATCCCACACTGATATGATTGAAAATGTTTTTTTATTTTTACAGATTGTTTGCACAGATACCAGTGTTACTGCACAGCTGTGTTAATATTATTTACATGTTTTGCTAATAAAGTGCATTAAAGAGGAACAGAGGAAAATAAGAATAAAGCTGAAAACAGAAGATTTTACTTCTTTTAAATTCTAAACATTAAAGTTCAGCTCAGTCTGGCTGCCATTTTACAGGAAACAATAAATTACCCAGGAAGGTGAAATAATTTTTAATAGATTAAAAACTGAACTTTACAGCAGTCACATCAGCTCCTGGTGAACTTTTTACAGCAACACAAATGTTCCAACAAACATTCTGCTCAATATCAAATGTGTTTTTTTTATCTGGTTACAAAATTAAACTGACTTCTCTAAACAAGGTGCCATTTTGTTCCTCATTTGTCTCGCTCTGTCTCTCAGCCTGAACCGAGAATGTATTTCAAAAGTCTACAAACTGAACACGTCAGCAGCTGATTTCATTCAATAAAACAGCTTCACTAAAGAGACTAAAATCAGCTGCTGTGATGAGTGTATGGAGGCTGCAGAATGCCCTGGAATAATTTAACACTGATTTTTACAAGTTATTAAATTTGACTCTTTAATTTTAGCATTTATAAATCTGGAGATTAAGATAATTGTTATTTACCAGGTTCTTTCAGCAGCATCTCATGGTCTTCTTCAATGGCTGGAGTTTGCTCAACACTCATGTGCTGCATCTGAATTCACATACATACCCAACATGCGTGGTGTGACTTCTGTCAATGGAAAAAAGCCGCCAAGAGGCTGAGTAAGCTCATAACTGTGACTCGTGCCCAAAGATGCGTTTTAAGATGATTTATTTAAAAAAAAAAAAAAAAAACAGAAAACTAAAACAACATGAGATGAAACTAAATAAGTGATGTGATCACTTTATAAACTTGCAGTCAACAGAAAATATTGGAGCCACAAACTCACCCTCTTTGTCTAAAAGCCGCCACACTAGTGAATGAACAGGTGAAATAATGTGCCTATCCCAGCTGACACTGGGTGAGAGGCAGGGTTCACCCTGGACAGGTCACCAGACTATCACAGGGCTGACACTTAGAGACAGACAACCATTCACACTCACATTCACACCTACGGACAATTTAGAGTCACCAATTAACCTGCATGTCTTTGGACTGTGGGAGGAAGCTGGAGCACCCTGAGAAAACTCCACACAGAAGGGCTCCTCCACCCTGGGTTTGAACCAGGAACTCTCTTGCTGTGAGACAATAATGCTAACCACTGCTCCACCGTGCCGTCCAAGCGTAGTATCTAGTGTTTAATACTCAAATATTTTACAGAAACAGTATGCCATTTACATACCGCTGTTTTCAAGTTTTGGACATATTAAGAAAATCAAACCTGCTGTTATAGCGCACTAAGTGGCATATTAATGTGTGATTTCAGATGCAGCCACAGAGATTACTGTTTCAAGATACATAAATCACCTGATAAAACTTTGCCATCTCCATGACAAGTGAGTGAACTCAATCTACTGATGAAGACAGTGAGAAACACGTGAGTTAATAAAAAAAAACGGTATGCGCAAATTTAAGTAATCCATTCATAAATTAATGTTTAGAATAAACAGATCTGAGTTTCAGCTGCCACATCATGGTAATAAATAAATCAGCGCTTTATCGTTTAAAACAAACTCAACTCAGAGAACGTCGCCCCTGTCCTTAAATCTTAACTTTAAATAGAGTTTGAAGTTTGTGATATTGGGCTTTATAAATAAAATTGAATTGATTGTGATTCATAAATCATCTAAAACAAATGAAGCATCTGGGAATTTGGGAATCAGGCAGCTTGTAGCGACGGCATTAATTAAAATGTTTTAATCGGATCAAATTAAACTCAATAAAAGTCTCTGATTATTTTAGTGGCACTCTGCACACTCCATACAGCCGGACTGAAAAGTGCTGTGTTCACATCAGAGAGAAGAAGTGTGACTTTCATCGCTGTCACTGTCCACGTCCTCCGTCTGTCTGTCCTGTTTAGATCTCACACTGTCACCACCTGTCTTTACTGATCCACCGTCATCTGTCCGTCTGTCCCACTGAGCTGTCTCTTTGTCCGTCCTCTGCTGCTTGTCCTCTTGTGACCGCTTCTGCTCATACGACATATTTAACTGTTTAAATTTTTCATTGTGACATTTTAAATGAGATCTAAATGATTTCTTTTTTTTTTTACCTGCTCAGTGGTTTCAGAACTCGTCTGTGTCCAGTTCCTGGAACATAACGGGGGGACATCTGTTAGAAACAGAGAACTGTGATGACATTTGAACATGGGGAGCTGTTCAGAGGACTTACGTGTAACCTTCAGCATGTCGGCCGATGTCAAAACTCTCTTTGTCAGTATCCTGATGTTTCTGTGTCATCTTGAACCTGAGAGAGTAAACACATGTTGACATATCCCGACATCATAATCATTTCATTCATATGTTGAGACGCTGATTTTTAAGCATGTAAATATTCCAAACATGCCCCACCTCCATGTCTGACACTCCTTTTATTACCACTTTATTTAACTTGGAAAAAACTGCATTAAAAATGTAGATTCAGGATACGTGCTGTCAAACTTTTGATTTTTTGTTTAACCTTTTGAAACCTGGAGCGACATCACTTTTCTTGTGCTGCTATCAGACGCCTTTCACAAATGGAGTTTGGTGAGTTTGGTAATGTCGACATCAGGGCTGTTTCTGGTTAAACAAAAATAATCTTACTCCTGAACAAAAAGGTCTGTCTCTGTGGGGATCGTTTTCGTAAACTGTCAGACATAATCGATTCAGACATAATTCTGCATTCTGACCTTTAATTTTCCAATAAATAACAACTGGATTGCTCCTCCTATTTATTGTCTTCAAAATGCAATGCCTTTCTAATCTTTAACTATGTCTTTGCTTGTTCTTGTGTTTTGTTTTTATTGTTCATTAAATGCAGTTCAATGAAAAGTTTTTGATATCTTATGTTTATGTGTATCTCTATGCCCCTATAAAGCACTTTGAATCACCCTGTGTCTGAATGCTGCTGTATGAAAAAACTTCAGATTCTTCAGATTTTAATCTCAAAATTGACATGTTTCAGAATTCTGAGATCATTTACAAATAGTGCTGAAATTATTACTCCTTTCACCAATCAACACAATGGTTTTGCTCCACTTGGAGGTGGCGGTAACAGGCTGTGAACTCAGTACTGACATACTTAAAGTTAATGTGAGAAACTTGTTGCTAATGTACCATAACCAGTCTGAAGCAGGTGAGTTTCTACTGTGGTGTTTCCAGTCTCACCTGATGATTAGGGCAACAGAAACAATCAATCCCAGCATGCTCAGAGCCAACAGGACGCCCAGAGCGATGACCACAGCCTGGTTGGGGGCGGGGCTTTGAGGCATCTCCACGTCAAAATGAAGATCTTCTCCGAACACCTCGGTCAGCTCTGCTGTCACTGCAGCTGATTTGCTCTTTAGCTTCCTGATGCAGCCGACAGAAGAGATCAGGAGGTTAAAGAAGGTTACAGCTCCCCCACGACTGGTCAGATCTTAGAACTGTCACGTGACTATGTGAGAAATCATCTCATAAACCTGAGAGGTGCAGGATAAATATTTAGTGATAAAATAATGGGTCTCTTTTGCATGTTGTCTCAATGCTTATGATGTTTTATGTAAAACACTTTGACTGCCTTGTTTCAAAATGTGCTGTCTGAATAAACTTACTTTGCGTATCTCTTTTTTTGACAAGACAAACAAACTATAAATATACATGCAATATACAAACAGTATACAATACTGTCATTATTTTAATGACATACTATTTTATGACGTTTTCATGACATACTACAACATGATTTCTCTTTAAATACCACACTATTACTTTTTAGGACATATTACAGTACGATTTTTTTTTTTTTTGACAAAATATGCAATGACTTTTTTTAGACATTCTATACTATGACTTCTTTGACATGCCATACTATTACTTTTTCGACATACTACACTATGACTTTTTTTTGACATGCTATACTATGACTTTTTTCGACATTCTATACTATGACTTTTTTCAACATGTTATGACTTCTTTGACATGCTATGCTATGACTTTTTTTTACATGCTATACTATGACTTTTTTCGACATGCTATACTATGACTTTTTTCAACATGTTATGACTTCTTTGACATGCTATGCTATGACTTTTTTTACATGCTATACTATGACTTTTTTCGACATACTATACTATGACTTTTTTCAACATGTTATGACTTCTTTGACATGCTATGCTATGACTTTTTTTTACATGCTATACTATGACTTTTTTCGACATGCTATACTATGACTTTTTTCGACATGCTATACTATGACTTTTTCGACATTCTATACTATGACTTTTTTCAACATGCTATACTATGACTTTTTTCAACATGTTATGACTTTTTCGACATGCTATACTATGACTTTTTTCGACATGCTATACTATGACTTTTTTCAACATGTTATGACTTCTTTGACATGCTATACTATGACTTTTTTCAACATTCTATACTATGACTTTTTTTGACATTGTATACTATGACTTTTTTCAACATGCTATACTATGACTTTTTTAGACATTCTATACTATGACTTCTTTGACGTGCTATGCTATGACTTTTTCGACATACTATACTATGACTTTTTCGACATACTATACTATGACTTTTTTGGACATACTACACTATGACTTTTTCGACATTCTATACTATGACTTTTTTCAACATTCTATACTATGACTTTTTTCAACATGTTATGACTTCTTTGACATGCTATACTATGACTTTTTTAGACATTCTATACTATGACTTTTTTCAACATGTTATGACTTTTTCGACATGCTATACTATGACTTTTTTCAACATGTTATGACTTCTTTGACATGCTATACTATGACTTTTTTGACATTGTATACTATGACTTTTTTCAACATGCTATACTATGACTTTTTTAGACATTCTATACTATGACTTCTTTGACGTGCTATGCTATGACTTTTTCGACATACTATACTATGACTTTTTCGACATACTATACTATGACTTTTTTGGACATACTACACTATGACTTTTTCGACATTCTATACTATGACTTTTTTCAACATTCTATACTATGACTTTTTTCAACATGTTATGACTTCTTTGACATGCTATACTATGACTTTTTTAGACATTCTATACTATGACTTTTTTCAACATGTTATGACTTTTTCGACATGCTATACTATGACTTTTTTCAACATGTTATGACTTCTTTGACATGCTATACTATGACTTTTTTGACATTCTATACTATGACTTTTTTCAACATGCTATACTATGACTTTTTTAGACATTCTATACTATGACTTCTTTGACGTGCTATGCTATGACTTTTTCAACATACTATACTATGACTTTTTTGGACATATTATACTATAACTTTTTTCGACATACTATACTATGACTTTTTTCGACATACTATACTATGATTTTTTCAACATGCTATACTATGACTCTTTTAGACATTCTATACTATGACTTCTTTGACGTGCTATGCTATGACTTTTTCAACATACTACACTATGACTTTTTCCACATACTATACTATGACTTTTTTGGACATACTACACTATGACTTTTTCAACATGCTATACTATGACTTTTTTGGACATACTACACTATGACTTTTTCAACATGCTATACTATGACTTTTTTGGACATACTATACTATAACTTTTTTCGACATACTATACTATGACTTTTTTCGACATACTATACTATGATTTTTTTTTATACATACTATAGCATGACTTTATTTTTTCAATGACATACAATACTAAGACTTTGACATACTACACTATGACTTTTTTATTACATAATATATATATATTTTTAGATATACAATACTATGACTTTTTATGACACACAAAACGATGACATTTTCTGACATATACTATGACTTTTTCGACATGCTATACTACTGCTTTTTTTTAGTACATGCTTCATTATGACTATTTTTATGGCATAATATACTGTGAAAGTTTTAACTGTATACTATAGTATAACTTTTTTTTATGACATGCTATGCTTTGACTTGTTTTAGACATATTATATTATGACTTTTTATAACATTCCCTACTATGACTTTTTTTTTTTTTTTTTAGAAATGAAAGGATTTTATTTTCTTGATAAGTCTGATTATGATTATTATTATTATTATTATTATTATCATAATAATAATAACATGATGATGATGAGGAAGATGATGAATATTGTCCTTTGTAGTGGAGTAAAAGTATAAAGTTGCATCAAAAGAAATTCCTCAATTCAGTATGAGTACCTCATATTGTACATAAATACAGTACTTGAGTAAATGTACTTGGTTACATTGCACCACTGTCAGCTAGCAATAATAATTAGTGTAATTAATTAGTGTGATTGTGTATTAATTTATGTGTAATATATATTGCATATTGCACATGTATATATATTGACTCTTACTTTGTGACCTCTTCAGAGGAAACGACCTCTCCTCCATCTACACTGATGAAGCTGACCAAAGTCTTCACTGCAGCTCTCAGCGATCTGGACTGAGAGGATCCTCCGTTAGCACTTGTCACCTCAATGATGTTCACAGTCCATTCCAGAGCTGCACCCAAAGACCTGACAGGAAAAAAACATGATAACAATAAAACCGTAGAGAATGTATATCCAAACAATCCTTTCATCATGAGATAAATGTCTAGTCTTACTTCTCCAACTGTGGGACTTTCTGCTCCACTATGTTAGCATGCTTGTTGAGAGAGATGACCGCTACGTCGTCACTGCTTGCACTTCCCTGCACCTCCACCTGGGGGCAGAAGAGTGTATCTCATTTAAATTAAAACAATCTGAATTACAAACACAGACCTGAGAGCATCAAAATGCCAAATTGTAGTGAGCAACAGCATGTACGCAGTAAAAACATTAAGAGACTGAAGACAATTGAAAACTATTTTAAAGTAAATAATTTATGCATTTTTTACAGCTCACTTACAGACTGTAGGAAAGTTATTGGAAGAGAAGATGTTTTTTTCCAATCCACTTTGTTATCTATTGTGAAACATATTTTACCAACTCAATACTTTTCTATTATTTTGACATATTTGGAGGAATGCATTCCAGGTTTTTAATTTTTATTTTTTAGTTAAGGAAGGATCCATAGTGAATAGTAATAACATGAGGGAGGGCCTAAAAAGAGACACAAAATTAAGGCCCACGTCTCCCCTTCCCCCACGCATCTGCTTGAGTTAATTTGCTTTTTCTTATTTTTCCAAAAATGTTGATACTTTTTTCTCCGTCTTCATGAACCACATCATCCAGTCCTCCACACTCACCTCCACCTTGGTCGTAGCGTAAAGATCTCCCCGGTCTTTGGCCTTCACCTCCACTACAGCTGTCTGTCCAGCCAGACCCACCACTGACACCAAGTACACCAGACCCGAGGACGGCTCCACGTCAAAGTAAGGACTGTCCCCTGACACACTGTAGACGAGCTGACCGTCCTCACCGACATCAGGGTCTGAAGCCTGGAGGTTTGACAGAGATGACAAGGTAACAGTGCACATTATCTGCTCTTTATTATATGAAAATCTAAAGTCTTCAACTATCAGAATTTTACACATTGTGCAAAAATACAAATGTAAAGAATGTTAATTAATGCAAGAGTAGCAGAGCCTTTGGGAGACACCAGCAGACTTTTAGTCGATGTATTTAGTGGATGATTTTTTTAGGTGGCTAAAATATGTTGAACCCTGCACAGCAGCAGATGGCTTAGCATCTATGTTGGACTCCTGCCTGCTTCTCCCAGCGCTGACATCTTCTTTAAGTAATATACTGTCTATGGATAGGAACCGCATAACCCCACTTGAAAAAATCTGAACTCTCCCTTTAAAGCCCCCGACACTGTGGTCTCACTTAGTCACTTGTTGGCAACCACCTTTTTTAAGACAGGTAAAAGCTTACACATTTTTGAGTGGGGTATTTAATGATTTTTAATTGATTTTACACTACAGAACAAAAGACTTCAAGATGAGGCAACCAAGAGTGCTAACATGATAACTCATCTTTGGGTTTGGGGACTTATTCCTACACTGCTCTATGGCTATATCAGTTATGAATATTTAAATTTTGGTTCTGAGGACTCATGTTTTTCCTTTATACTGCATAGTTTTATTTTACCACATTATCCATTGACACCAAGCTGATGATGTAGAGAGGAATGAGCCACATCAGAAACAGAGTTCTGCAACATTCAAAACACCTGATGGCCACATATAAATGGACCTGCACTTGTATAGCGCTTCTCTAGTCTTCTGACCACTCAAAGCACTTTTACACTTCATGTCACATTCACCCATTCACACACTGGTGGCTGAGGCTACCATACAGGGTGTCACCTGCTACTCAGCAATCATTCACACACTGATGGAACAGCCATCATAGGCAAGTATCTTGCCCAAGGACACTTTGACATACAGACTGAAAAGGCCGAGGATGGAACTGCTGATTGCACTACGCTGACCCTGTAACTGGAGCAGCGACGAGAGGCTGGAAAGCTGAGGTGCAACTGATCGAGGTAGGCTGCGGAGCCTTCGTCACTAGATTCACCACTTGTTTCCTCAAGGAAATCGGGATTCATAAGCAGGCCCAGAGGAAAGTGGTGAAAGTTCAGCCAATACAGCTGAGAGGTGCAGTAATTGGCTATGGCTGATCAGCCTGAGGTGGGCCTCCCTACATGGAGGGTGTCTTGTGATAAAGGCAGAATCAACCAATGATGTTTAGGGGCACAACTGATGATGTGTCAGTGGGTGGCTCTGCCAGGTGGTCACAGCCGAAACACCTATGCTCTGGCATGAAGCGTGTTGAAACTCTGGGGACTGTAACACCAAGTCCTAACTGATGACTCGATTAGTGGACGACCCAATCTACCTCCTGAGCCACAGCCGCCCCCATATGGGACCAAAACATCAGATTTTTTAACTACTATTGACTAGGGATGCATGATGTTGGATGTTTTTGCTGATATCCGATATGCTGATATATGAAAAACTAATTTGGCGGATACTGATATCAATATATCCCCGATTTAGTGATCATCAAGTCTCTTCTGTAGTGGAATTAACATCATATTATGCATACATACTCTTATCGTGATGGCCCACCAGCAGATGGAGACATGAAATATGATAGCATTTTTTGAATCTTTTCAGAGCAGTTTTTCTCTTTTCAGTCAGCTGACTTTTTGACTCTGATACTAAGATCCTCCTCGACTCCTAATGACGTGTTTCAGTGCTGCTCATTAACCACACCACTCATAGCGTGAACAGCCTGCTGGGTTTCAGTTCAAAGTACACACTCACCGTTTATCACAACTGCAGTAATTGTGCCATCATACATCAGAGGAGATAAATGTAGCCTTTGGTCTTATCCGACTCACTGGTGTTTTATTAGATGTGTCTTGAGGATGTTTCTGACAAATGGAAACTGACAGAAAGTGGGTGTGTTTACCTTGACATAGATGACAGGGGTTTTATACGGTGCGATGCTGAACACAGAGGCACGATAAACCTCAGAGGGAAACTGTGGAGGCTCGTTCACATCCTCCACCTGAACTCTGACCTGGGAGAGAAACACAAGAAACAGGTCAAAAGACTGAAGAGAACTTCTCTGAATCAGTCCAGGCTGCAGAGGACAGACAAAAATACTTTTATTTAGTAATTTCTATAATTAGGAAAATATCTTATGGACGGAAAATGTGATTTAAAAGTGATTTAAAACCACACTGACATCCGTAATAATCGCTGCAGAATAAGCTCAACAGTATGTCATGTGTTTCACTGTATTTGTGCAGACAGTGATGGTGCAAATAAATGTTTTTTTTTTTTTTTAAAGGTTCAGTTTTTTGCAGCTGTTAAACACCATTTCCAACAAGCCCAAGAGAGAGGTGAGAGGTCTTGACAGAAGACACCAGTGAGCTCTGAGAATGGAAATCAACACACTGGTTGTGGTTGTCAATAATAATCATCACCTGTAATATTCAGCTCATAAACATGTCTGCAGGATGAATACAATTTAAAAAACAAAACCCAGATCATACCATTGCCACTGCCGTCGTAGGGGGGGTCCTTGTGTCCACTGCCTCCACATCCAGGAAGTACCACTCCTGCTCTTCTTTGTCCAGCACCGTTCTGGTCAGGACGGCTCCACTGGCATTGACGGAGAACAGGTCAGTGTGTGTTTTTAGTGTGTAAGAGACATTGTAAAGGTTACTTCCCGAGGAGGCCCAGACCCTCCCCACCATCACCCCCACCGGCTGGTTCTCAAGTAGGCTGAAGTTGTAAGAGGAGCTTCGGAAGGCCACGCCCTCCACCAGACTGACAACCCTCAGATTCACCACGACACGGGCTGCAACAGACACATTGATATATAAAATACAACATTTTGAAGCTTTTACATGTAATGGAGTATTTCTACATCGTGATATCACCACTCTCAGTACTCTCTCACTACTCTTCAGTTAAGTATCTGAGTACTTCTTCCACCAGTGTTCAAGCTCTAAAGCGACTGAAAAGAAAAGAAATGTTGCTTCAGTTTCTGACACATAGTCTAAAGTGTCGTGCACAAACGTCCTCTTCATGTTGCTGAATGGTTGGCTGAACTGACAGCAGGCCACATGGAGACTTGTGGGTGCTGTCAGACTGACCTGTGGAGTGCAGAGGAGGCTGGCCATTGTCTTTAGCCATGGCTGTCAGCACTATGGTGGTATCTTCTGTGACATTAGCGAGGTCAGAGGTCAATGTCACAGCCCCACTCTCACTGTCTAAGGCCAAATATGGAGAACTTCCTGCAGAGAAACTGCAACAGCAGAGAGCAGAGTAATTAATTACATAAGCTGAGATATGCAAATATAATTCAACTGAAATCAGCACAATAAACTGGAACGTAATACATTTTGAAAAAAAGTTTATGACAGCTGATAAATGATACATTTTAGAGACAGGAGTTTATGCAGACACAGTTTAAAAGTCTGAATTTAATCAGGATCTAGAACTCTTAATTATTCCAGTGTCATGTTTTTCCTTGAAATTCCCAAAGCCAAACTTGACCGTGAAGTATCCCGAGGTGTAAACGGGCAGTTAAGGTGATATCACAGTCAGCTGAACTGACCTGTAGGTGATGAGTGAGTTGTTCCCTGCGTCTCTGTCGGTGGCAGACAGGTTCAGAAGCAGCTTCCCTTCCTCAGCGTCTTTCAGTAGGATGCTGCTGACGTAGCTGCTGGAGCTGAACTCAGGTCTGTTGTCATTGACATCGATGAGGCGCACTCTGACTGTGGTGACGTTCTGGTGCACAGGAGTCAGGATAACGGTAAAGGAGGTTTAGACTGCAATATCCAAATAATAACCAAATCTGGTGTTTCCACTATTAAAACATTATTTTGTCAGTTAGCTGTGATCTTCCTAAAACATTATCAGCTAAACATCATTTTGTTAAAATATGAGCTTAAACATATTTGACTATGATGTGTTTACAGCAGGTGTCTCCTACCTCTCTCTGCGGGCTGCCTTTGTCTGAGGCCCTCACAACCAGATCATACATTTCCCTGCTCTCCCGATCCAGAGAGCCAACAGCCAGCAACGTCCCGTCCTGCAACACAACACATGATCTCAGAGGAGCCTGTGCAAATACCTTCATATATCATACTTCAACGATCCTCTCTCTTGGCCTTACCTCTCTGAATCTAAAGAGTGGGTGAGGGGAGGGGAGAGACAGGGTGACCTCTCCGTTGGGCCCGAGGTCGGCATCTGTGGGCACGATGGTGAAAATTTCTCCTGGATTTTCCTCCGAGTAGTCGTCTTCAGGGATAGTGAGGGGGTCTGGGATACTCGGGAACTGTGGTGCATTGTCATTGTAGTCCAGGACGGTGATGTTGAGCTGAGCTGTTGAACTGAGACCATCAGTGACCTGATCCACCGCCACGACCTGGATACAGACACAGAGAATATCACGAACTCAGCTGAGCAAACTCACTCCTATGATATATATGTATGGTGCTAATTTTGTTTCATAAAACAAAATGTCAGCTTTTGTGATAGACTGTATAAAAGAGGTGGACTTAGCCTCCGTGTCTGGAAAGTGAAGCCAATGCCTAAGTGCTTTAAACCTGTGTTCTTCCTAATGGCCAGTAGGGGGCGACTCCACTGGTTGCAAAAAGAACTATGAGAAAGTGACCAGACTTCTCATATGATTTAGAAAATTTTCCTAATGAGTTTATGGTCTGAATCCTTGTTTCAAGTCTTCACCAACACAGCATGATGTTCATTAGGGTCAGGGCAGCTAAGCTGCCAGGACACTATTGTAATCCTAGGTATTCTTCTTTCTTCTTCCGAGGAAATCATACTTCCCATGGGTGAAAACTCACCAAACTTTGCACTGTAAACTCAAGCCAATAGTCCTGATGGCGGCGCTACAGCAAGCGTCTAAAGTTCAAAACTTTGAAAATTCATAACAAATCAACCATATGTGCTACAACTTCACAACTTTCATCAAACTGTAGCCCCAATACTGAAGAAACTATTAAAAATTATGAAAAAAAAATAACTCCATGGTTTTCAGCTACAGTATGTACAATACAAACCATTATTGTAAAAGCCATCAATATCAAAATATGCAACCAGTAAATGTTTATGTATGAGATCATGTTTTATTTTGTCTGGTATCCTAGAAGAGGTAAGCTGAGACCTGGACGTATGTAAAGTTTTTCACTGAAACAGGCAAAAAACCGGGAGACAGGAAATGTAATCGTGATGTTTGTACCTGTAATACGTAGCTGTCCGTTGTCTCTCTGTCCAAGGTGACGTCCTTCCTCAGTGAGACCACACCTTGTCTGTTAATATCAAAGGTGTCCTTGGTATAGAGGAAGTAACCATCAGAGAATCCACCCTGAAGAAAAGAAAAGGTCAAAGTGTGTAAAATACCTCTGCTGACTTCACAGTCAGAGTTAATCATCAGCACTGTAACAGCAGCAGCAGGTACTTATCAGAGGTAACATAAAGTATGATCTGGGAAGTGACTGAAATCATCTTAATAAATTACTATGATTGTAAAGCAGCGGTGCCAAGGTCCAAACTGTTAGAGTGCATTCATCTGTGTTTTAATCTCATACAAATCTGCCAAGTCTTTAAATCTGTTAGAGAAAACTATCAGTCCTGTGTGGTATATTTATTTTTGTGATAGTTTTACTCTCCGAGGTTGACAGTTTTTGAGGCTGCAAGGAAAATAGTAAATGCTTTGGTAATATATACTTTGGTAATAAACTGCAATATATCGCAAGATATGTTATTGTGATACTAAGCCTATCACAAAGCATTAAATAAGACCTGACTTGTCTTAACTGAAACAAGTCTTGGTAAGTCTTGTATCATGACTTAAGTATTGTGATAATATTGTATTGTGATTTCCACCGCTGGCTAAAACAACCCAGTTAATTAATTCAGAACCAGTTAATATAGTCTACACCTCCAAACCCTGCAAAACACTATCCTGCAATAGCATTATTCATTGGCAAAACTTAACAGTGAATCTGGCAGCAACCGCAGGCTGCAAAGACAGAGTTTATGTAGCTGGTTAAAAAAAACAAAAAAAACCCCACTCCATCCTACCTAATGTGTCCTGTCTGTGCTCTATGTACTTCAGCTGTAAAAAAAAAAAAAGTAAATCAATTAAATGCAGAAACAGGTGTTAAACTCACCTCATCCCTGTCAGTGACCTCCAGGGTCAGGATGGACGCACCGCTGGCCAGGTTCTCAAAGACGGCCACATCATATCTTTCCTTACTGAACTCAGGTGGGTTGTTGTTCACGTCCTTCACCTTCACCACCACAGAGCCGTTCCCAACCAGAGAGGGAGTCCCTCCATCAGAGGCCTGAACTATGAGACTGTACACCTTCACCTCACTGTAGTCCAGAGGTTGGGCCAGCCGCAGAGTCCCGCTGGAAGAGTCCAACTCAAAGACGGGAAGGTCTGATGACGGACTTTGCTGGAAAATACTGTAAGTAACTCTCCCATTTGCTCCTTCATCAGGGTCCACGGCTGATAGAGTGAGCAGGCTTTTACCCACTGACTCTGTCTCTAAGACTTCTACCGGATACTCAGCCTCTGAGAACTTGGGGACGTTATCGTTGATGTCGGACACACGGACCAGCAGGGAGGCTGTGGCCGACCTGACTGGACGACCCTGATCTTCAGCCACCACCAGCACGTTGTACTCTGCCTTAGTCTCCCTATCAAGAGCACCAGCCACACTCACCATCCCAGACACGGGATCGACAGAGAACCTCCCCTCTCCTCCTCTCAGAGAGTACCTGATCTCCTTGTTGAAGCTGCTGTCTTTGTCTGTCGCTGGAACGACAGTAACATTGGATCCTATCTCTGCATCCTCTGGGACTGATTCAGTGACAGAACTGGAGGTAAAAACAGGACTGTTGTCATTGATGTCAGTGACTTGAACCACCACGACCGCACTGTCACTGTAGACCCCGTCAGAGATGGAGATGGTCACAGAGTAGTTGTGTGGAGCCTCATCGTAGTCGAGCTTCACTCTGGTGGTGAACTCACCGCTAGAGGAGATGGAGAATTTGTCGGCTTCTATATCAACTTGCAGAGTCACTGGAATCTCTCCTGTTGCAAGGAAGTCAGCCTGAATAAACACATTAAATAATGTATCAAACAACAAAATTAAACAACCCTGTGCCATCAACAGAGATTTACTCTGTCTGCACTAATGAAACAGTTAAGTGCACTAGAAAAATATGATGTGAGGAACTGAAAAAGAAAAAACAATGGTTGAATTTTGTGCCGTCAGCTGAAGAGACTAAAGCTGTTTTCAGGCTGAGCTCTAAGCATAACTGACACTTTGCTTTGTTACACCCCTCAATTGCAAACTGTTCTGACAAGGATCGAACAAATACACGGCTGTGTGCCATAGACTCATGCAGTGATTTCAGATTTCCTTCATTTCAAGGCTGGTTTTGTGGATTTTAAGTTAAATGTACCTGGAGCACAGTGTGTTATAATGATACTCATTACCGGGAGAGGTTGGAAGAAGATATACATTACTTCCCTGTTCAACACCAAAGTCAAACCCTGAAAAATGTAGGGTTAGCTAGGTACATACATACTACACACTGTATATATAAGCCTTCCTCCTACATCATGAAAAACTGTCAAACGGCTTTAGACCAACAAAGTCATCAGTATTTATTATTTTATCAAACTCAAGGTGAAACACGTTCGTATAATAGCTTGTCCTCTGTGGCCTGCTATCAAAGTTTGGGACTTTTGGTGTTGTTTTAAACCACCTGTCAACACTCAACTGCTACAAAAAAAAAAAGTAAGGAGAGAAACTCACCTTGAAGATCACTGTTCCTGGGTCTCTCTCTTCTTCTATGGTGCCACTGTAGATACTCTGCGTGAACTGTGGTTTTGTATCTCCAACAGCAAGAATCTCCACCTGTGCTGAGGCAGAGTGCGACACTACACCTCCTGGAAGAGAAGGATAATATCATCATGACTTCACTGTGACTGGCTGAACTAAAATGACTCATCAAAACTGGACATGTGAAAAACAAATACAGTTGACATGTACCATCTCTGGCTGTAATGAACAACAAGAACTCCAAGGTTTGATGTTCTTTCACTGGAATCACTTTCGTCAGAGTGATTGCTCCGGTGTTTTCATCAATGGAGAAGTAGTTGTTCTGATTCCCAAAGTCAATGGAGTATTTGATTTGTCCATTGACACCTGCATCTGGATCTTCAGCCTCAACCTTTGAATTACATCGTAGAGAAAAACAAATCAACATTGAATGTTACCACTGTTCCTTGTTATAAGCCTATCCATGTGTCTCTCTGGAATAGTAATATTAAGTGACTTCGCAACTTCCTCTAGGAAACAACTCACACAGTGCCTAACATTAAGATGGTCAAAATGTGTCTGATACGTACCATCATCACTCCTGATCTTGTGCACAGTGTTGGTTTTAGGTGGTTTAACAGTGTAACTGTGAAATGGTTTGCTTCATATTTAAACTGTACATTTCAGGAGGCAAGTCATTTATCAAGAAGCTAACCTACATTGGCTGGAGTCCCCCAAGGAAGTATTATGGGCCCCCTGCTGTTTTTATTATTTGTGAATGACCTGGAATTTGAAAATTGCATTTTCACATGCTAATTACTCAGCCATTTTGTTTCACATAAAAACGAGAATAAGATGATCTTAAAAGAGGAATTCAGTAAGATCGAGAGTTGATTTGAAGACAATAAGTAATATTTACATTTAGACAATCCACAATTACAGAGCTAACTGATAATTTTATTCTTTTGAGTTGCTTTGAAGACCCAATCTGTTCAGGGTCTGGGAAAATCTAGGGATGAGTGAGTGGACCATTATCTGTATCTGTTCAACAGACTAAATCAACTGTAACTGTATCTGTGCTTGAAATGGGTGGAGTTTAAACTGGAAGTGGGTGGGACTTAACCAGAAGTTGTTTTTTTAACCTGAAATTAATATTGGTTGATCAGAAGTTGCTAAGGATCAAATTTTGGAAACTATTTACAGACCTATTTCAGAATTAAGCTTCAGATCATTTTTAAATACAAGAGAAGGGATTAAAGACAGCAACCTAAATGAGGACTTTCCCTCAACTTGAGTATAGATACTGACACATTTTACTCAGATGATACTTGTACTCGTGAAAACTGCATTCTTCGTACTGGATATTTGAATATTTGGCCCCACCTTAGTTGAAATACTTACACATACAGATGCTTATGTTGGGTTTAAATCAAAGAGAACACACTGGCAAACACTTTAAATGTTTGCTATTAAAGGATTTCAAAAATAAAAAAGTTACTGATTAATTGTAAACTATTGAAGTAATCGCCAACTATTTTGATAATCAATTAATCGGTCTGAAATATGAATATTTTCCAGTTTCTTTGCTCAACCATGACCGTAATTCAACTATTTCTTTCGGGGTTGTGGACAAAACAAGACATTTGAGGACATCCACTTGGTCACTGTGAAACTATGATACACATTTTTCACCATTTTCTGACATTTTATAGACCAAACATCTAATCAGTCAATCAAAAAAATGATCAACAGTGAGGATTATTGTTAGTTGCAGCCCTATTGCTGCATACTTCTCACCTTCAGGAGCAACATCCCCTCTGTTTGGTTGATGAAGACTTTGCTCTCATACTTGCTGCTGGTGAATTTAGGGCTGTTGTCGTTCTCATCCAGAAGAGTTACATTCAAATTTGCCATAGAAACATGATTTGGTGGCTCTGTCTCCTTTGCTTCAACCTTTATGAGGGACAAGAGAATGTCTCAGAGAAAGTCTCAGGATGTAATCAGCTCTGTTTATAAAACGAGTTTGATGATAGCAAATTACAACCTCGGTGCCTACGGAAAATAAAAACAATCACATGTGAAGCATCAAAGTTCATTCTTAACCTTGTAAACAGTAAAGTGACAAAAAAATACCAACTAAGGGTCCACTGACAAGCTGTTTCAGTAACTTTTATCTTTATTACAGTCTTCATCTGTGGTTTGAGTTTGCAAACTCCATCCACTCTTCCATCCTGTGACAAATTGGCAAACTCCATCTGCTGATGAAGTCAGGTGATATGGTTCAAAGTTCCAGGAAAAGCTAGTAACTGAATCTTGATCTTGGATAATTTAATCAAACTACTATTACCAAGGTCTACAATGGACTTTCAAACTTAATTCTGAGCCAACGCATATCAGAAGTAGCACGAGTGCAATTATTAAAATAAATAAAAAAACAATTACTAAGCTAACATGTAACCCATCTCTCTGAACTAAATCTACCCACTGATGATGGCTATGTTATACATTTAAAGCTCATGAAATGGCTAGTAGGTGGACCTTGAGTTAGGGAATGTATTATATTTTGTTTCTACAGCACTGTATGGCTCTTTTTCCACATACTTCAGGTAGTTTAGATGCTTGTCTGCATGTTATTGCCTTGATGACCCAGCCCCTAAAGGTCCCAGTAAAGGGTTATATGAGACACAATACATGGAGGAATTAGTCAAGTATGAACCTTCTCTCAACTTAAAGCTTTCCCTTTAAAATAAATGAATCTGTGTCTCAGATTCTACATTACCTGAAACAAGAACGTCCCAGTGGTCTCTCTGTCCAGAGCTGTAGAGTTCCTCACTCTTATTGTCCCATCAGAACTGATGGAAAAAGGAGCAGATTCTGGAAGGATCCGCAGTGTTCCCACAAATCCTCCCTGTGGAACATTAATGAAATGATGGTGTAAGAGCCACTTAAACAAAGATTTACACGCTGTAAAACTTCAATTAAAAGCCTTGTTCCAATTAATCGCCTAGTCCCTTTTATTAGCCTGGTGTCGCTGCACATTTTGACAAAAAAACGCCTGTCTCATTTAGAAGCCTGGTCTGGTTGCAAAGTTGCCAAATGTAAAACCAGTTTGTTGGCTTCCTCAAATTATGTGTCCATTCCTCGTTGTGAGAAACGTTTTAACGGGATACAGTGGTGTTGGGTCGGTATGCTGGGTGCCGTAATCCTCGAGTGCCATAACTCTCTCTGTCTCTGATGCGCTGTCTGTTGAAGCTAGATCAAATGACTGTTTTATAATTGATAGATTATCTGAAGCCTAATTTTAAACAAGTAAAATTCATACTAGTTTAAATAAACAATTTGATTGTATTTCCCATCTACGCTGAGCAACAGTTTTGCATTAAAGGAAATAAAGGCCTGTCCCAAATATAGGCCTGTTGAGTTCATTGATTTAAGCAAATAACAGCCTGGGCTATTAATCAAAGTTTTACGGTTAGGCTAGATAGGTGATATCTGTGTTGATATGACACAAGCTCTTTAGCAGAAACATGATGATTTGTGTTATTGTTCACTCGTGATCAGTAAATATGCTCTGCACTTAAGACATTGGATTGTGCTGTTAATGTGCTAAGTGGCTAACCAGCATCAAGATGGTCTTCTGGTTTCCTTTTTTGAATGACAAATACAGACTACGGTCATTTCCTCTCACACAGGCCCAGAACTTATGTGCTGGATGGCTGTTGGCTATAGTCCTTGTGGTGGGTTCATGTGCAACTTTTTGGCCGAGACACAGGCAACAGTCGGCTTTCGTGGCTGCTATTTCTTTGAAGTCGGTTTGGTGTGTCTGGGCCTGTAAAGTACTCTGCTTGTCTTGGGCTGGAAGTGTTGATGCGTTTGCTGAGAACTTGAAGCTTCAGAAGGTAGTAGTTAGCAGATATTCAAACTGTTGCCTCTGCAACTTTAAATATGAGGATTTATTCACTGTGAGCTGGAAACAAATTATGAGCTTAAGAGTTTATATATTAATAATCCTTGCAATTCACACTGGTGCTTCATGGTCACAACATGCGACTTAATAGTAGTGGTCTGGAGCCCTGCAGACACAAAGACACACACTTTGCCTCCTCATACACTTGTTACCCAGGAGAGATCATCTGGATGGATGGAGGAGTGAGTGTGACATAACATTTTTTTGAGTCTTTCTTTGTGAGTGTGAGAGGGAGAGAGCCGATAGCTTAAAAAAATGACATGACAATTTATACGCGATGGTTGCGATAATGTCACCTTATACATCCCACTAGGTAAAGCCAGGATACATATAGTATGATCAGTATATTGTCCCCCCACCTCCTAGCCCTCTTGTTTACTGCTGGGGAATGACACAGACCCTCAACTGTACTATGAATGGAACTGCATCCGTGCTGGTGTGACTGCAGCTGTCCGTGGACATTCATTGTGGAATGGAAAGTACGTCTGAGCCTTATGGCAAAATATCCACCCTGACCTCCTTCCTTCAACTGTTTTTTTGATGTATTTTTGATAATTCCCCTCTGAAATCATGTTCACCATGTTTTGATAGTGGTATCATTTATCAGAGTAGATGCATGTGATCTAAAGGTTGAATACAACTCACCTCATCCCTGTCAGTGACCTCCAGGGTCAGGATGGACGCACCGCTGGCCAGGTTCTCAAAGACGGCCACATCATATCTTTCCTTACTGAACTCAGGTGGGTTGTTGTTCACGTCCTTCACCTTCACCACCACAGAGCCGTTCCCAACCAGAGAGGGAGTCCCTCCATCAGAGGCCTGAACTTTGAGACTGTACATCTTCACCTCACTGTAGTCCAGAGGCTGGGCCAGCCGCAGAGTCCCGCTGGAAGAGTCCAACTCAAAGACGGGAAGGTCTGATGACGGACTTTGCTGGAAAATACTGTAAGTAACTCTCCCATTTGCTCCTTCATCAGGGTCCACGGCTGATAGAGTGAGCAGGCTTTTACCCACTGACTCTGTCTCTAAGACTTCTACCGGATACTCAGCCTCTGAGAACTTGGGGACGTTATCGTTGATGTCGGACACACGGACCAGCAGGGAGGCTGTGGCCGACCTGACTGGACGACCCTGATCTTCAGCCACCACCAGCACGTTGTACTCTGCCTTAGTCTCCCTATCAAGAGCACCAGCCACACTCACCATCCCAGACACGGGATCGACAGAGAACCTCCCCTCTCCTCCTCTCAGAGAGTACCTGATCTCCTTGTTGAAGCTGCTGTCTTTGTCTGTCGCTGGAACGACAGTAACATTGGATCCTATCTCTGCATCCTCTGGGACTGATTCAGTGACAGAACTGGAGGTAAAAACAGGACTGTTGTCATTGATGTCAGTGACTTGAACCACCACGACCGCACTGTCACTGTAGACCCCGTCAGAGATGGAGATGGTCACAGAGTAGTTGTGTGGAGCCTCATCGTAGTCGAGCTGCACTCTGGTGGTGAACTCACCGCTGGAGGAGATGGAGAACTTGTCGGCTTCTGTAACAACTTGGAGAGTCGGAGGAATCTCGGCAGCTAGTGAGAGGAAGTTAACCTGAATACAAAAAGATGAGGAGCAGGACGATAAAATGATTTTACTAAACACAAATTTGTGAAGAATCAGAAGTTAATTTTCCCACATTCTGAACAACAGTATCTAAATACAAATTGACTGGATGTTAGATGAACATGTGGTTTGTAAAAATATCTCTGACATTTTGGTATGGATATGAACATTCATAACAACTTACTGAGAAACTTACTTTGAGAATCACAACTCCTGGCTCCTGCTCTTCTTCTACAGAACCACGGTACACTTCTTCTAAAAACTGAGGATTTGAGTTACCAGGAGCGCGAATGTTCACCTGTGCTGCAGAGGAGCGGGATATGGTGCCCCCTAGAGGAGAGGTGGAGAAGGCTATCATGATGACTTGTTAAACTGAGTGTGATAAGTCTGAGCTGTTGCAGTAGGTGCATGCATTCAGGATGAGCAACTGGGGCTGCTGACATAACCCAGTTTCTGTCTAGGGCTGGTATGTGTACAGGGATTTTTACACTGCTGCACAGCCTCAGTATGCTCCAAATGAACCATGTTGTATGACGTCTCATGCAACCACGTCGAGTTGACATGTTGATTGTGCCTGCGCCACAGCAGATTTCACGCTCACTAATGCTACATCTTACTGCCTCCCAATTTCTGTACGTAAACTTTTGCATGTTTTTGTATACTCGATGGAATGAATCATACAAATGGAGATAATGCACTCTTTCAGACCATCTCTCTTCAGAGCAATTATTTGGTGCTCCTCAAAGTCAAGGACGGATCCTTAAATAGCTGAATTTCAAGGAGGCGATGTCATTGAATGATGCATGCCGTATGTGGACGTGGAAAGTCCATGACCAAACGTCAATATGTGACAAGGTCGGAGTGAGAATGTGTTGGCCTTTAACACGGTACATTTGTAAGCTTGTTGCCTGTGCAGTCAGCCCACTGTTAAAGTAGTGTTGCATCACCTATCTAGCTAACCTTAATGTCAAGATATTATTGTTGCACAGTTGAGATGATGAGGCTTCAGCTAGGCACAGACATATTTTGACATAATTCAAATAGTTTTGATATACATCCAGACATTTATGGTGGTTGTGCTAGCTGATTTGCATATCATAAAAGACTGCACAAGTAGCCATGGTGGAGTGAGTTGTTGTCGTGTTTGAGCCTGGGTTTGTTGAAGGTGGCAGTGTTGTTTGGGCTGAGAAAGCCTGTGAGTTTATCTTCTCTATCTCCTTTAACTTTAGCTTATATTGGAGTTATGCTATGTAGCGTGTGAAATAGAGTGTGGTGAATGTGCTAGGAAAGGTAGTATTGGCACTGTCTCTACCTGGAGCTCGTATGTATGGAGCCTGGGTTTGTTGAAGGTGGCAGTGTTGTTTGGGCTGAGAAAGCCATGTGTAAGTAAGGTAAAGGAGGTTGTTGGGTTGGTGCGGGGAGCAGTGAGAGCTGGCATTAGGGGAGTGTCTCTGGGACACCAGAGATCACTGTCTAGCCTCCTGGAGGTGTCGTGGGACCAACTAGACGAAACACTGGTGAAAGGAGGTTCCCACCTGATGACCCCAAAGACATGTTAGTTATCACTGCTCACTGGTCTGTATAGTTAAGCCTTGCCATAATAGCTTATCATAGGGCTTAGGAGGTTATTCACTGAGTGATCCTTTCTCTAGAGCACAAACTTCTTGTGTTTATTTAAATTAAAAAAATAAAATGCTGGGAGTGCTTTGAAACACTTGGCTCGCTGATGCCCTGCCATGGTTTTTCTTCTGAAGAAAAGCAATGGACACAAGCCCTTAGTAAAGTAAATAAAAACATAGAACTACTGTAGTTTATTTTTTTTGGTATGTTGTCATGTATGAAAAGACCCAAAATGAACACGGTAAGGAGACTGTTTGATTATTATGAGTAAATTATTTAAACAGCATTTGTACTGGAATGATTCTGTCCAAGCTTTTTGCTCTATAAAAGCGGTTGATCACCATGACTTTGAGCAATACGAGCAGTTTCCACTCAATTTGCACGCCTTCTCACACCTGAACAACCACCATGTAAACTGGTGTGAGCGGACTGCTTGTTTCAGAAAGTTACATAATTTGTCCTACACATTAGCCCCGATTTCACCGCTGAAAAGTGGGTCTCTGGAGACTGTTTGACAACACTTCCTTTGAAGCATACTGAGGCCTTTCTCTTAGTTCAGGACTTCTGTATCTACGGACAATATTGTAGAGATGTAATGAGTGTTTTATCACTCTTTAAAGGACTTGAATTGCTGCTGCATGCAGCTTGTCATCCAGTCGAAATAAAAATGTAAAAAGCCCCTTTGAAAGATTCAACAAAGCATGAAAGGTAGTTGGAACAAATAAAGGTATGTGCTTGAGATCACCGATCTGTAGAAGGGTGTGATAACAATTTTATGACCACAAAGCATTTGATACTGCCAAAGGTGAAGTGCTAGATGTGATTCTGAGATACAGTTGTTAAAAGTTACAGCCCACAAAGAGCAACACAAATATTCTGCCACTAGATGCAGATGCAGACATTTGTTTAAAAGATATTTACAGTAGGATTAATTCTTTGTGCCATACACATACTAAATAATAATTATCATGGCATAAAAAGTTGTGATTTAGTGTTAATTGGCTCTTTTAATATTATAGGCTGACTCATCACAATCAGGATAAGTGATTCTTATCATTGATGGTAAGCTGTAGGTAGTGCTTGGTGCCCAGAGAGATAATGTTCAGATCTACCATCTCTGGCTGTTATGTAGAGAGGGAACTCCAAAATCATGTTGTCCACCAGGGGGATCTTTTTAACCAGCGTGATGTCTCCACTGTTTTCATCCAATGAGAAGTAGCCGTCATTGTTCCCGAAGTCAATAGAGTATTTGATCTGTCCGTTCTTGCCAGCATCTGGATCCTCTGCCTTAATCTTTGAGTTTAAATGTACAGATAATTATCTTAACAGCACTTCTAAAAACATCAAATAAAAATGACATAGCAACAATAAAATGACAACAATCTTAAATTATGGTAAAGGATGAAGCAGAGGTAGAATTTCAACACTGTGCAATAATGAGCCCAGCAGACGTGTGTCGAACTAATCAATAAATTATGTGGAGCGTTTAGCAATGTCATGACTCAATAAGCTATAAAGTTATAAAAATGAGGGTTCAGTGTTAAAGGAGTGTGTCATCAGCATAGCAGTGGAGGGCTGATGTAACTCCACCTAAAGTTCTGCAAATGAAAAGGAGAGCGGGACCTGAAATTGAACCTTGAGGAACTCCACATTTAATTTCTGCTGCAAACAAGCTGAATTAAATTCTAAATTTAGGCCAGTCTGCCCATGGTAAACGTTATTGAACAGATAACCCTGAACAGATTTTTCTCACTCACCTGGACCAGCAACTGTCCCACTGTTTGATTTGCAAACACCTTCCCCTCGTACTTGTTACTGGTGAACACAGGACTGTTGTCATTCTCATCCAGAAGAGTTACATTGACTTGCACCACTGCAACATTGTTGGGTGGATCCGTCTCCCTTGCTTCAATCTTTTCAGTAAAAAAAGAACAGCATCAAAGGTTCAGATACAACACTGCCTGTTGCCCACAAATATAAAATAGTTATATCAAGATAACAGAATAAGCATGGAGATATTCAACATTTTTTTTCTTGTCAACAAATCCCTGTGCCATAGAGCTCCACTCATTGCCATGAACACACACTGTAGTTTATTGTGACTTAATCACCCATACACCATCCTGCTGCCACACATACTCACTAGAGCACCAAACATGGAGTAATCCACCGCTGAAAATAGTCCCCAACAACTGCACTATTTCCTTTTGTTTGGGTTTGATAAAAACTCCCTCTTGAAATGAACCTACGTGCCTGTGACCTGTTTTTTAAGATTTGTATTTTCAGTGGGAGCCCAAAAAGCTCAGGGCTCATGTCTAATCCAAATTCAATTTAATATGATTACCTGAAATGTGATACTTTCAGTGGTCTCTCTGTCCAGAGCTGCAGAGTTCTTCACTCTGACCGTCCCATCAGAACTGATTGAGAACGGAGCAGATTCTGGAAGGATCCTCAAAGTTCCCACAAAACCTCCCTGGGGACAGAGGATCATGGGAGAAATTGCTCAATAATAATTATCACTTAATTTCCAAGTGTGGGTTTAAGTAAAATCTACTGTACCTCGTCCAGGTCGGTGACCACGGCTTTGAACACAACAGCATCAACAGGAGAATTTTCCAGGAGTGTTGCAGAGTACTTGGGCTGGTCAAACTCTGGAGGGTTATCATTCACATCTTCAATAGTGACAGACACCACAGCATCTGCCGTCTTCAAACTGTCGTCTGTCTGGGCCGCCTGCAGAGAAATTATTATCATTTGATAATCACTCGATTTGTGTTGTACATAGGGATGCAGATAGTGGATTATTTGCTGATATCTGATATGCTGATATATAACAACTCTGACTGACAACTGATACCAATGTTGATATATTCCACCTTTTTCCCCCTAGATGGAGACAAAAGATACAATACTTTTCGATGTCTGTAACATTCACTCATTGTGCAAATTCAGAAATAGTATGTTGGCCGATTCTGATCATTCTAATTTTAAAGCCAATATCGGCCGCTACCAATGACATGCTGATATTTTCTTGCATCCCTAGTAAAAAATCCAGATGAAGGCCAGTTTTGACACAGCCTTGAGTGGGTGGTATCCTTAATTATCACCTTACCAAGGAGGTTATGTTTTGAGTTCAGCTTTGTTTGTCTATTTGTCAGCAGGACTACAGAGAAACTGCTGGTCCAATTTTCATGAAACTTAGTGTAAGGGTGTAGCCTGGGTCAAGGAAGAACTATTTTAATTTTGAAGCAAATCCGAATCACAAGGTGGATATACAAATTATTTTTCACTTTCGTTAACATTGTAAGATAGGGCATTTGGCCTTGGCGGAATAAATGACATTAATTGAAAATCCAGTAGTTGGTAGTAAAGTTCAGCAGGAAGACAAAACATAGACATAGCCAATTGTAGAAATACCATGACTCCAAATCACATTTACAGAAACCTGTGATCCTGCAGCAGCTAAAATTTCACACAGCTGTCGCTGTCACTCAGGAACAGACAGTAGTTTGATGGGAGAACTGCTAAAACTGTAACAACGCCACACTTGTAGCATACCTTTTTTCTCAACTAAGTTGTGGCTATGGAAACATAAACAAACACACATATCATGCAATTTATTAACCTCTTAACACACATCCAAATGCGAATTGTCTGCAATGATCTCCTCCAGAGATACTGAAGGAAATTAAACATTTCCAGTTTAGAAGACAGCATTAAATGCACAGTTGAGATGATGAGGCTTCAGCTAGGCACAGACACATTGTGACATAATTCATTTGCATATCATAAAAGACTGCACTATCAGCCATGGTGGAGGCCTGTGCTCTCTGAGTTGTTGTCGTGTTTAAGCTAAGGAGCTTGCTGCATGCTGATAAACCAGCTAACTAATGTAGCAAGTGAGCTTTTGGTGCTGCCAATGAAAAAACCTACAAGACCAAATTTTGCGCAACATCTACTGCATGTCTGTCCGTCCACGCTGTTCATGTGCACACATGTTGGCAAAGTTTCCCTTTATATTCATTGTCTTGTGTGGCGATCAGCAGTGATGTGGTGGTTCACTTTTACACTGTGATCTGTAGCCTATAGTTCGGCTTTAGCTTCTAACTATCTTTGTCTTTTTAACCTGTTGTTGCTGCTGAGTCAGTTTGACATCCTGGATATATCCTTCAAACACAGACTGTAGACCCCTCTGTCTGCTGCTCTCTGGAATCACTCTTTCATTTGTCCAAAAATATGATAATATTTCTCCAGAGAGTGCAGTTAGTGACAGTGTGGGCTCCATGCTTACTCCGACAGCTTCACAGTGCATCACAAAGTGGTGGGGCTTAGCGAAGGGTCAATTGAGCTGACTGGACTTGAATGTGACCGGCCTGTGACGTACCTTGATGCGGACAGAGATCACACTGCTGTTCATCTCCTCTCTGTCTAGAGCTGTGATCACAGACACAACTCCACTGCTTGAGTCAATGTTGAAGTTTCTCTGATATTTGTCTGGAGACACTAAACAAACAAAGACAATGTTAGATATTTTAGTGTTTCACCTCAAAAGTCTGAGTTTTATTCAAACCTTTTATTTCTTGTTGTTTACCTGCACTGATGCTGTAAGTTAAAGCCATGTTGATCCCAGTGTCTCCATCCTGAGCCTTTATCGCCTCTGGCTCAATGGTACGGAAAGGCCCAGCCTGGGGATCAGGTTACAGCAGGTGAGGTTAGATTAAATTAGATTAACATATATTGACTTTATTGTCAGCCTCAGTGGAAATGTGCCCCTTGCTTCTCCCAAAGTAGAAAAATAGATTATAAAACAAAATTTTGGTCTTGGGTTTGCATGTGCAAAATCTGCTTTTAAAAAGGCTGCATTAAACACATGATATCCCATCTGGGCAGAACACATTAAAACACCTTTACATAAAAACACAATATGGAAACCACTTTCAAAGGAGCACCAGGCTCTCGATAATGAGGACTGAATCAAGGTTAAATAAACAGATATAAAGTGTTGTGTGCTCAGGTAGCAGACTGGCTTCAAAAAGTGGCTCTCCATATATGTTTTTTTTTTTGTAGAACATTATGATGTCACAGTGACGTTGACCATATCATTTTATGAAATTTTGTCATAATAAGCAGATAAAGTATTGAGTTATGACTAAAACCATGCTTTGTGAGGTCACTGTGACCTTGACCTTTGACCTCCACAATTTGATTACTTCATACTTGAGTCCAAGTGGACGTTTGTGCAAAAATTTAAAATTCTCAAGGCATTCTTGTGACATTGCGTTCACAAGAATGGTTTAGAAAGCGGGACAATCCAAAAACACCCAAGTGTTGGTTGGTATTTTAAAAGCCAAGAAAATCACCTGTGACACACATGTTGCAGTTCTTCGTTAAGAGACTCACCTGATTCTCCCGAATAAAAGCCTGGTACACACTGTGGCTGAAATATGGATTCAAGTTATCGAAGTCGACTACGTTGATCAACACAGTGGCTGTGTCACTGAACCCTCCTTTATCCTGTAGCGAACACAGATGACACAGATCAGTCAGGTGTTCTCTCATCACGGCTCTAAATGATTCTGTATGAGTAGATGTTGTGTGTCTTTTCACTCACCTGGGCCGTCACAATGAAGTTGTAGTTTCGGACTACATTGTAGTTCAAACGTCTCTTCAAAATAAAAGCCCCTGAGTTGGTCACAATAAAGTCCTCTGAAGTTGGTGCCTAATGACAGAAAGTTACTGTCACATTTCCACACAGAATACTACGTATGACCCTTGATTTTATTTTTTACCCATTGTCTTGTGAGTTCATCCCTATTTAAAAATATCTGTTTTAAAAACCACATAATGTGATAATGTCGGCAGCGTGATCACATTTTCTTATCTTTTTCTGTATGTGTATAAAAATTAATTGTAAAGCTTGTTTATTTTCTATTTGTTGTTGTAAGAAACCTCCACTGCTCTGTCTGTAAGGGATAATGCCTGACGACGGGTCCATTATCACTTTTTAACAGATGACATGGAGGCGTGAACCTTCGCTAAGACTGTTAAAAAGTGATAATGGACAGCCCATATACCATGGTCACTTACCGAAGAAATGTAAAGTAATAATATTCATACATATATTATGCTTTTTGCAGTCAAAATCTAAAGTTTTTCATAAGCCATAACCCTGTTTCCTTGGCAACACCCGAGGGTTTACCTAATACCGGAAACAATCATTGCTGCCCTGTAAGGTTCTTCTGCAATGGAGACGTTATTCTCTACTCCAGTAAATACGATGAATCTTAAATATGACCTAGCAACGGGGGACATCATGCTGCGTTCGTTTTGTACTCGGAGGTTGGAAGTCGGAAGTGGGAATGACGTCACCTCTGAGTTGACGACAGTTTTTGCATTCTAGTTGACAACGGTGGACAAGTCAGAAAAAAACATGGACGCCCGCAAGAAAGCCTTTGTTGCCCGTGCACTTTCGGAGTATAGACAGCTTCAAAACCATCATGCACTCCAACTGATGAACGCAGCAGATGAGGCTGACCTAATGTAAAACAAATAAGATAAAATTGCTATAAACAGTACTTTAGCAGAGTGTTTACGCTCTATGTATGTGACCAGCAGCCATCTTGAATTCGTAAGTCGGAGTTTCTAAGTTGGAAATCCGATCTCAGGGTGTGTTCGAGTTTGATCTTCCGACTGAGAACTGGGAATTTCCGACCTCTGAGTACAAAACGAACGCACCATTAGCTGTGTCTCAATTCAGGGGCTGCAGCCTTTGAAGGGCGCGGCTTTCGCGGGCGACGTTGGCCACGTCCTTTGAAGACCGCATCAGCTGAAACGAACTGTCTCCAAAATGGGACGATCTTGTCTGAGGAGGATTTCCTGGCTGCATCACCAGTTGCTCTGTTGGTGTTCCTGTTAACTAGCAACCAGCTGCGCTTAACGAAAGACGGAGTAAGATAGTAAGTTAGCTAACCTAAATCATGGACCGAGATATTATTATAATATGTATATATTTTGTATTCAGTACTTTAGATGATTCATGCCACTGTTTATTTCAGGCTGTTTTCAAGTAAACGTATTAAGTTAAGCTTGTTTAAGCTGTGTGCTTTTAGCTAATAGTAATGTTAACAACTTTTAACTGTTAACAATTGTTGGTTACTTATCTTAATATATAATCGTCACCGGCGCAATGCATCTTGGGATAGGCTGGGCCACGAAGGATTCATCTGTTGCATCCTCCAAATTCTGGAGAAAGAAGGTTGCAATTTGAAATGAGACAGCCTTGGTCGCGCCAATGTGACGCAATCTGTCTCCAAATGCAGCCATTGAAGGCTGCAGCCCCTGACTTGAGACACAGGTGATCCAATCCGCCCAGCTCTTGGCATCCTTTAGCCCAGCTATTAGCCAGAAAGCTAACATTATGCACTGCATACAGTGGACAAACAGTACAGCAGCTTTTGGCAGCTGGTCGCAGGCTGCACCTCACCACTGCTTGGTGTGTTTTGGGTGTAAAACATAACTTCAGGTACTGTCAGTAACTACTCTTTGCATAGGTTTAAGTGAGAACATTCATTGTAGCTCATCCAAATATGGTTATATTATTATTATTATTACAATGGAGTATGTCACTTGGTTGTTGGCTGAGGTGCTGTCTCCGTCCACAGCTGTCACTCGAAGAACCTCGCTGTTTACTTCTCGTGCCTGAAAGAAGAAAAGGCTGAGTGACCCACAGATACAGAGAAATACACGTGTGTGTCCTGTTGCTCCTGCAGGTCAAATGTTGGTAACACAACATCTGTTACTACATTTATCCTTTTAACTCATTCTACTGCAGCTCACTTTAGATCATTTTGGCAGCATTCTGGATAAGCAAGTCCACAACTTGTCCACAGGTAAAACAAGAATTTCAAAGGTTAATCCAGCTGGCAGTCGGAGCGCATCTCCTAAACATCAGCTGAACTTAAATGAAAATGTTTTATGCAGGTCTACAGCTCCATTCTGACAGATTTCAGTGACTTACCTCAGAGACAGAGGTGTTGTAAACCTCCTGTTCAAACACCGGGCTGTGGTCATTGAGATCGTTGATCAGCAGTGTCCGAGTGTTGTTGTACTGCAAAGATAAAAACATAACTTTTAATATTCTGTTTTGTGAAGTTAGTGTATGCTGCCACTTTAAAAATGTTACCCACCTTAATTGCGCCGTCACACATGACAGAGTAATACAAGATTCTGTCACTCTGTAAGACATGAAAAAAGTGTTGAGATGACTTAAAGGACACTGTGAAAAACTGAAAATGAGCATGTGTTCAACTATCTATCAAGCTGGAATTGAAAACTACTGTCCCTCAGCTCCAGTTCATTAAAAATGCTGCAAAACACAGAGGGAAATTTGCACTATAAAAACTACTACATGCAAATATTCTGTCTCTATCCACACTTAAAATACTTTTATTTATTTTTTACTTGTTGACATTGGCTTTATTTCTATGAGTTGACCTTAGCTGTTTTGAAAGGCGCCTTTTAAATAAGATACGGACATGCACTTGTATAGTGCCTTTGTAGTCATCCCTGGAGGTCAGCACTCATTGGCATGTATTAGCTCTAGAATTGTTATCCAAGTAACGCTGGGGCGATCAAAGAAACCATAACTGATTTAATGAGCCATTCACAGTTTCACTGTACCAGCCGTGTGTACTTAGACTTGCATATGCTACTGGCAGGATCAACCACGTAGCTCTCTCGCAGGACAGCCTGCGTGGGCGCCTGTCAGCCGCTTGTCCTGGGGTAGTGTTGCACTGGGGACCCACCTCGCTGGGGAAGGCGGGCCAAGGCGACTGTGTATCAGGTGGCCTGTGGTCCTCAACGCGGCAGGGTTTGAGAAACATCATGTTTCTTGGAGCCCTGCTGCCCGTGCAGAGGAGGTTCAGACCCCCTGGCAAATGTGGGAGAGTTGCGACCCGGCGGCTAGCTCCATTGTGGGACACCTTGGGCAGATGGGGCTCCCCGGCGCAAGGCCAACCAGTGGGGGCCCTACTGATGGTGGCACAAGTGCCAATCGGTCAATTTTATCATTTTACTATATAATGAGGAAAACTCTGTGTGTGTGTGTTCCATGTTTTTCTCCTCACTGACTTGGTCAATCCATGTGAAATTTGGCACAGTGGTAGAGGGTCATGGGAGGATGCCAATGAAGCAATATTACATCAATTGGCCAAAGGGGGGCGCTATAGCAACCCATTGAAATGTCAAACTTTGAATGGGCATATCTCATGCCCCGTATGTCGTAGAGACATGAAACTTTGCACAGAGATGCCTCTCCTCATGAGGAACACATTTGCCTCAAGAACCCATAACTTCCGCTTATATAGATTTTCCGCCATTTTGAATTTTTTGAAAAACACTTCAAATGGATCTCTTCCTAGGAAGTTTGAGCGATCTGCATGAAACTGGGTGAACATAATCTAGGGACCAATATCTAAAGTTCCCTCTTGGCAAAAGTTGGAAAACTTACTAAAACTGAGCTTCTATAAGGCAATGAATATTGCGGAGGGCGTGGCTCATCACATAAAGGTGTATAACATCTCAAGGGTTTCACCCATCACCACGCAACTTTGTAGGCATATGACCACACATAATCTGAGGGGACCCCTCCATTATTGACCCCATCAAACAAAATGGGGGCGCTAGAGAGCTCATTTCTTATCTAGGCCTAACCGCCATATGGATTTTTACTAAACTTGGTAGATATGTAGAACAGGACGCCTCAAGGTGACTGGAGAAATTTAACTCTAATTGGCAACTGGGTGGCGCTATAACAACAGAAAAATGCTTCAAAATGGCTAAAATGCGACCGATCGCTGTGGCTCCCCCTGTGGACCAATGTTGGTGTTGTTTTCTAATGTTTGGTATGACTAAGTCATGGTATGGTATGCTGTACATAATCACAGAAACTGTCAGTGTGTCATTCTGTCAGTCAGTCATTCTGTCTGTCCCACGTTTTTCTACTCACTGACGTGGTCAATCTATGTGAAACTGCACATAGGCATTGAGGATTGGCATAGGTAGAAGGTGACAAAGCTACCAATGGCTATGGACCAGTTATTATTATTACTGTATTTTTATAATGGAGTTTTGGTGGTAAATTGGGGCTGTTTCTGGTTAAACAAAAAGAATCTTACTCTTTAATAAAAGGTCTATCTCTGTAGGGATCCTTTCCATAATCTGAGCCTGTCAGTCGCAAAAACAAACACTTTTAGTGGAACTAAACTGACAGTGGCAAATGCAATTTAATGTTGCATTGCAGCTTGTTTTGCCACTGCTCACAATTTCAAAAACTGTTGTTCCTATTAGTCACTTAGACACAAAAACATGGGAAAACAGGGTCCAGGTTGAAAAATACTGCAGTTACACTTTAGCATTTTCTGTTTACATTTATAGAAAATATAAACAAAATAGCAGTTTAGAAAGTTGATTAGTAGGAGACAGGTTTTCCCAAACTCACCCCAACCAGTGTGTCTGCATCCAGCGGCTTCTTGGTGCGAACAGTTGCGCTGGTGTCTCCAATTGTGAAGCTCAGTTCCAGATACTGCAGATGTTCTGGGAAGATGTAGGACACCAGCTTCACATTGCTTCCTGCTGTGATCCCCGACACCACCTCCACATTGCCTGCAACATCATGGGAGCATTGTGAGAGGGTCTAAATAAACATCTCATCTACTGTTTGACGGACACACAGCACCTTTGTAGGAATGGATTTCTTTCCTTCATAACAAAGTCAGCGAAGATAAAAACACTGATCCCTCTCAAAATATCTCGCTATCATGTCAATTTGTTTTCCCCTACTGTGCATGATAATACAGTACCAACTGTTAATTACTAAAAAAGTATCAGTATCTTGGCGAATCTGGCCCTGGTATTACTTGATATCAGATCGAAAACCAGATTTTGGGGCATCACCCAACAGTATTAGCTATCCCTCCTATCCCTGGAGATTTTGCATACAAAGCATCTTGCAAACAGATAAAGTGAAAATAATAATATGTAGAGGGCAGCAATACAACATTACTTTTCAAACTTTTCCTGGATTTCATAAAAACTTTTAGGCATGTTTCAGAAATATATCTCAAATATAAAGCAAGTTTGAATACCAATGAAAATGGCATGAATTTAAGAAGAAGAAGAAGAAGAAGAAGATAAACGTTAATGATCCCTGAGAGGAAATTTAAATTATTTCACTCTGTTGTCATACACACACTTTGGACAGGAGCCCCGAGCAGTTGGGGGTTCAGTGTCTTGCTCAAGAGCATCTCAGCAGTGCCCAGGAGGTCGAACTGGCACGTCTCCAGCTACCAGTCTACGCTCCATGCTTGGTCTGTATGGAGACTTGAAGCAGCGACCCTCCGCTTTCCAAGCCAAGCCAAGCCCGGTCTTACTCGGAAGTTGTCAAAGTCCGGCGCTTGGGCAGTGACTCACGGCGTCAGAAACCAACGAAAAAATGTGTCTTTTAACGTCTGTGTGACACACGGCAGGTTGCTGTTAGAGTTAAACGGTGCCCGACAGTGGCAGGGGGAAACGCAGCGGGACAAGGACGAAAGTTAAGGAGGCGAAAGTTCATCTTGGGCGTGCTGGACTGGTGGGGGATGTGTCCAACAAACACTGACTTTCACCCAAGAAAGTGGTGTTCGTGTCCCATAAGATTATAAAGCCAAACCCTAAAATCAATCTAATTTGGCAACATGCAATTTTAAATAAAAGTCATATCTACACTTACCTGTATATCCTTCATCCACTGCACCCACATACTGACTGCTACCCGCAGCACAGTTTATGGTTGAAGTACCTTGAGGAACAGAAACAACACTAGTTAATAGAGAACAGACAGCTCACCCACACTACTGTACATTAAAATACTGTTTTTCACTCCTCACAACTGGCATGCAGCATGTTCTGGTTTATGTGCCCAGCATTCCAGATATCTGTTGCTTCCACAATAATACTAATGGAGGTGCGTAAAACCACACATGCAGTGGGCATCAGTACTTAAAACTACTTTCCACCACTGGAGGCAGATACTGGAGGCGAATACTGTATCAGATATGCTTTCTAATCTAAAACAGTTTCAAGCACATGAGAATATACTGTGTGTATGTTTGAGCTTTCATCATTGCAAACTATCTTAAATCTACAATCTGTTGTCGTGGATGATATAAAAATAATAACATGGTTGTGTATCACTGTATGCACCATTAAACTTATTTATTACTTGTTTATTACATTTTATTGTCTGAGACACATTTAAAGATTTGATTAATGATAATAAATCTAACATCAGTAGTGTCTTTTTTATTCTTTTTTTTACACACATACCACAAGTGGCAACCTTTGGATCTTAATAAATAAAACCCACCTGAGGTGCCAAATACTGCAGTTGACCGAATGACCACTTGAGGCTGGCCCCAGAAGTGAGTCTAACATGTTAAAATGCCCAACTTTACAGCAGACATAAACATGTTTACAGCCTGGTACAAAAAGCGGTTTTGGTCTTTATAGCTATTTTCATAACTGTACAGGGGGTGAATTATTTATATAACTCACCCATTAAAATGTAATTAAAGCTAAGGTTAAGTTAGGGACTGTTCTTTACTTATCAGAGGAGGGGGTCGACACCGTTTTTTTTTTTGTTTTTACCCTCCCTGAAACTACAAATATTTTTTACAAAGATTTTTTTAACACTTACCCTGTAACGTTTGAAAGTTAAAAGTTAAAGATGAAATCCTGGGGTTGAGGAAAGCCTTGTTTTTTTGCTCTTGTCGTGCATGCTGGTTAGTTGGTGCAAATGGTTTATTTTTGGCCAAATTTTAAATGACATGTTGAATAAGGTGATTTTGATGAAATATCATTATTTCAGGTTTAGATTTGATGTTGTTTTTTCTTCTTTTTTTTTGACAGAAGCATTCATTGCATATGGTGTATCCAAGGACTGTCAGAAATGGAAAAATCCATTGATAACTTCTGTTTTTATAGTTTCTGGCTGCAATTAATGGTGTAATTTTGGTTATTTTTAATCATTTAATTTAATTTTTATACAGAATAAAACCATTTTAAGTTGTATGCCCCTCCCCTAAAACGAAAAACAAACAAACAAATAAAAAAAAGAAAACATAAGCCCCTTCCCAGTGCTTAAAAAATTAGCTGACACACCACACCACCCCCTCCAAGTAAAGAACGATCCCTTGAGCATAGCTACGTTGACGGACAGGTGGTTTCTGTCGGTTGCTACCACGGCGGTTAAGGTAACCCCAGCATAAGCCCAGATACACAGAGAGCAGGTGTAGCTGTCACTATTTCCACTTATTAAAAGTTAGTTGTAACATTTTGACCACCAAAAAAAATCTTATTCAGAGTTTGGTTGTTCGGTTTTTCTGGTAAGTACATTTTGTTTTAATGGTTTTAAGTCTGTTTTTCTCAAGTGAAAAACAACATAAGCATTATCACAGTAAACTATAGCTATAAATGCAACATGCTAACCAATATGCGGCTACTTTGGGCTCCAAAAATCCAAGATGGCAACAGCCAAAATGACAACTTGAGGTTTCAGAACTGGAGTGGGTGACGTCATGGTGGCTACGTCCATTACTTTAAGCAGTCTACGGTAGAGCACCTGACACTGGACTTTGAAACACTAAAACTTTGAGTGAGGTGTGATCAAACTGATATGGCAGCATAATTTCATGCAGATATAAGGCTGAGTCAAGCCACCATCGCTGCTTGAGACTTGGTGTAAGACAGGTGTCATGATACCTACTACCAGCCATAATAATCAAAACATCATTTAACATGAACACTGGGCTTCCATAGGAATCCTCACCCAACATAATTCATATCATGCGTGCCGATAACTGTCATCATGTATTCCTCTCTCATTTTAAAGTGGATTGAAGTAACAGATTTGGACACAAAAACACTGGCACTGACACAATCACCAGTATTAATTTAAATAAAAATTCAGGGCCTTCAACACAAACAGAAATAAGTCAGCCTGATTTTTCCTGCTGTCTACAGTTTTAAATCAAATCTGATTCTATAATCTAGTAAATCAATCCATTCTGGCTCCACTCACCAATAGAAGTCCCAGTAACAACACACACACAAATGGAGAAAACGAGGAGCAGACCACTCCGAGTCAAACCGCCGGTGTCCATATCGGCTCGGTTGCGTTTTCCCCAAACCTGGAAACCCACACTGAACTAATCACCTGAATCTCAGCTGTTAAGAAGCGTCCGCAGTTCACCTCGCCCACCTTTCCAGCAATCCTGTTTTATGGCTGGTTGTAAAGTGTTACAGTATCACTGATGGTGGACTGTGCCCAAGAGCAGTGCCAAGCGAGAGTTTCATTTTCCATGAAACCTTGTGGAAGAATTGTGCGTTAACTTCACGGGAGGAGAAGCTACATTCAGCTATCAATTAAAGCTAGGCCTCTGCTGCTGCACATCTGCATTGAAGAGTGAATTTTGACCTTGTTTGTATCTTTGGTGTGATTTTTATGTGTGTTTTCCTTCTGTTGATTGTCATATCTTTGTGGAGCATATAAATGTTTATCATCTCTGTCAGCAGACCCTTCCTGGTAGAGGACTGACTGAAACTAATCAAACAGTGTAGTGATTTATGTTTTGTGGTTTTAATGCTACCTCATGTTATCTCTATTTCTACTTCCACTTCTCCCCTTCTGACCTGTGACCAGCCCTCGTCCCTGAAATCTCAATCTCTAATTATAATTAACATAATTAAGAGGCGGACTTTTTTTTTTTACATTGAACCTAAAACATCAAACATTTGTAGATGACATAAGAGTTCTGACGGGACCATTGCAGCTCGGAAACAAAGGTTTCAAAGAGCAGTGAAACAAAACCGTCAGACTGATGGGCTGCCCAGTAGGACCTGCAATAAAAGCAATTTTTAAAATGGCCGATACATTACAAGCCTTTCAAGTTTTCCTAAGATACTGACCCACATCACATCCAGTCAGTTGCTTACCTATAGATTAAGAATGGATTCAAATGCTGTGCACTGTATTTCGATCAGGAGGGGCTCGTGTTTTAGTGAAAAGAATACTGTATTTATTAACTTGTGCACGTACATATGAAAAATGTGAAAACTCTTTGGTGATTAGATCCCATCCAGATGGTGTATAACTAAACTGTAAACTACATGAAAATGTCGGCACCAACAGAAAAGTCATGAAGATGTTGATGGACTCAGACTATCAGCGTTTACATAGGTTACTTAGTGGCTTTGCAACAAGCTTCTGCCACCGGTGCCGAAATTTCACGGAAAAAAAATCTGCTTTACGGCAGGAAACGCGTCATGTATTGTGAAACTGGTCGGTCAGCCAATCAGGGACTGGAGCTGGTCCTTATGAGGAGTTGGGCATGAGATAGTTGAGTCACGAGCACAATGGCAGACGGACAAAGTTTGGAGACAAGTGAAAAACGGCCTAGCAAAAGAAAAGGAGCTCCTCTGTGTGAGGAGGCAAAGAAGAGCAAAAAGGAGAGTGATAAAAGAAGAGGAAAAACAAGAGTAAACCTCAGTCAGGCGTTCAAGAGATGGAGGGAGCTCCGTGACCAAAGAGGCTTCAAAACCCATGTCCAGCTAGCTTTCTTTCTAATGGATCAGTAAGTAACACGGCTAAATGTTAGCTAGACCAGAGAGGACTGTACTGTACTGGCTGCTAGTTCATTCCTAGCTGGCCAGCATCGCAAATCGCCGCAACCAGGGAGCGGGTAGCGAGTGTTGGTCGGCTGACATCCTGGTTGCCATTCTACGGCAGCCCTCGGACAGTGATACCCCCCTCCCTTCCTTCTGTTCTCTTCTCACGGAGGCAGCTATCCACGGACATCGCCCAGCTAAGTTACGCCCAGCTAAGTGAACACTGGACTTTGTTTCCCATTCAATTTGAGCTCCAACCGGCCGCATGGTTTCCATACGGTAGCGTTTATTCTAGAATGGGGACTGTTTACATGTGCATATTGGTATAATTCCACTGTGTCTACTGTTGTTTGTACTGATACTGTACATATTGGTATCATTTACTGTGAGTTGTTTGTACTGGTACTGTGCATTCTGCTATAATTATTTGCATTACTATTTGTTTTTTCTTCAGATAAATCTGATAATTGTTGCTCGGTCTCTTTACTCATTTATTTAGTAGAGTGTCCACACACCTTCTCATTCTACATATACATCGAGGTATACTGGTGGTTATACCCCTCACAATAAAAGCCCCAGATGTACACACTGAGCCACTTTGAATGTGCCCAATTAGAAGCAAATTTGAAGGAAATAATCTGCTTACAAGTTTTAAACTAAGTGACATTAGCTAATTCTATACATGTCCACATTTGGCAAAAATTACATATGAGAGGTGTTACCTTTGTCCCAACATCTATTAGACTGCTAAATGAACTATAACACTGTATGTGTGTTGTTGTGTGCAGGGATACGTGTGCATGTAAGCCCAACCACAAATGAAGTTCCCTAAGGGGAAAATAAAGTTCTCTTGTCTTGTCTTGTCTTGTTGTGTGTGGTGTTTGATTAGCATAACAATAATGTGGTGGTGGGACATGTTCCCCCTGTGTTACAACTGTTGTGATCTTCCTGAATGTGTTCTGTGTTTCTCTGTACATGTTTTCCCTCTGCTTGTGGTTTTTCTGTATGCAAATAGGTGTGTGCCACAGCCCGGCGAGGATTGGTGGATTGCATCTGTCCTCATTTGTGATTGGCTGCAGCTGAGGGCGTTCAGGTTTTTAAGGACCGAGATGGCAGTTGCTTCGAGCTAGCAGGCAGACCTCACCTTCCTCCTCTCCCAACTAGCCACTCGCATTGTCGTATTGTCGTATTGTAGTCAAACAGCATTTTTTTGTATATATTGTATAGGCAGGGGTGGACTGCCAGTTTTGTTATTAACCCTTTTCTCCTCTTTATTTAGTTAGGGAGGTAAGCTTTTTTTGTCATTTATTTAGTATTATTTGGTTAGGTTATTTACTTACTCCCTTGATAGACCTGTTTTGTTAGTTATTTTGCCCTTAGTCCACCATGAAGTTATTATTTCACGCACTAATCTTATTCCATTTATTGTAATAAATTACCTATTTTATTTTCGTTAAACACATTTGTATCCTTGTGGCCTACTTGGGACTTGGGGAAGATGGGGCCTTTCATGTTGTGTCCCAGACACCCCTAGACTGGGCATAACATGAATTGGGGGCTCGTCCGTTTTCTTTTCGCGCTTCGTTTCAGGGTGAGTTTGGTGAATATTTTTTTCCTCTGGTTGGCGGTTGTTTTTTGGTGTGAGGGGAATTATGAAGTTTTCTCTGGATGACTTTGTGACCAGCCCTTCTTTGGCAAAACTTGAGTAGTGTAAAAAAGCAGATTTGTTAATTGTGGCTAACTTTTATAATGTGCATGTGTCGTACAGTGCCCGGAAAGCAGAGCTCAAACAGATTTTGAGTTGGTGGAGCAGGGTGTGCTACCCAAACTAGCTGCTGAGGCGGCTAAGGCTGCGGGTGACGCGGCGGCTGACGCACAGGTGGCGGATGTGAAAGCAGCGGAGGCTGCTGGCGTGCGCGCTGTTGGTGTGGAGCCTGAGCCGGTCATTGAGCCTTCTCTGGGAAATATGACCACAGAGGATCTCCGCTTAGCCCTGCAAATAAAGGAGGTGGAGACCAAAAATAAACAGCTTGAAGTGCAAGCAATGCATCTCCGTATCAGGGCTCTTGAGCTGGAAAGAGGAGCCCCTGTTGTCTCCACCCCAGTGTCTCCTAACCAAAGTTTTGTTTCTGCTCCTGCTTTTGACATCAGTAAGCACATTGCGTTAGTCCCTCCGTTTCATGAGTCCGAGGAGTATATCTTACATCTTTTTTAAAATGATTTATATTGTTCAACTTTTTATTGACAGTCATACTAATTAAACCATGATGACGTGGTTATGGTTCACACCTCTCCCCCAAGCGTTGATTCTCGTCCTCTGCTCTAATCTTCCGGCTTACTAATTTTTGGAAAATATGTTCAAATATGGGCATGGTGCCACTCTAACTGCATGATCAACTTCCGCTCTATAAAAACACATCTTCCTTCTGACTGTATTCACTGCAGCAACGCCTTCACAACAAGCACTGAGAAGAGAGCAGAAGACACAGACAGCATCCATCAGACAGCCCTCTCCAACAAAGACGGTAAAAGAGATTCTCTTGGCTGTTTTTAGTAGAGTTCTAAGGAGGGAGACAGGACGGTATAACCTAACTTCAGCAGTTAATAGGTTCATCTCCTGACACCTTGTAAAAACCTCAAGTGATTTCCAAAATTTCACGAGGCCACATTAAGCTCAATACAAGCTAAGAGTGGCTGTGTCTGCAATTACTTTTTAAACCTGCTATCTATAGATTACTTAATCTACACACACCATGTGTAATGAAGCAGTTTACTGGATCAAATCCACACCACACACTGAGTCGGAGCAAGTTTGTATGAGTATGTAGTGTGTTCACACTGGAAACATGACTTTTCATTTCATTTCATTTTTGAGTGAGCTTTTGTTTGACACTATTGTCCCAAAATGCATTGCATAAAGGAACTGGAGCTAGGCTCAACTCGCAGCTGCAAAATAAAAAAAATAAACAAATGACATGTATTGTGTGACATGCACACATATTGCACCATTTCTTGTTAGTATAAACAGTTAAAAGTGCTGTGTGTAACTCTGGAGAAAGATATTTGTTGTTGAGTCTCATTTGCAGGTTGTTCAATATTGACACAACCAAATGTTATCATTTGACGGCCTGGGAATGAGACTCAACAACTATCTTTCTCCTGAGACATGGCTGAGCTGAAAACAGTGCTCAGTCACCAGTGAGGGGATTTCCACTGCTCAAAGCTGCTGACTCGAGCAGTGAAAAGGATTCAGTATAATAATAATAAACTTATATAGCACATTTAAAAACACAGTAACAAAGTCCTTTGCTAACAAACACGGAACACATTTAAAATCAGATTTTGAGTCCTACAGGCTTCAACAAACACATTGTGGAACTCATTTGTTCCTCAGTCTGTCAAATGAGAGTATGGCTTCCAAGTCACCTGGGTCAAACACTGAATGTAGTAAATGAGTAATATTTTGCACAGCATTCACTCTTCGTAATGTCTGTTGGGATTTGTAACCTTT